CAGGGCTGGTGCTGTATCCACTGCGCCACCTAGCTGCTCCCTGCCCTTTCTTTCAACAACGCCTCTCTGGATAGAGGAGGGGAAAGGACATTTTTGGAAATGAAAAGATAACAAGAATTTTTTTTAAAGCACCAAACAAAGTTAAGACCCCCAGTCCACCAAAAGTGTCTGCTGTGCCTAGCGCCTTGCCGGTCAATGCAGGGCTTACCCTGGAGATGAGCCGCCCCCTGCAGTGTTTACACCCGAAATGCCTCGTTTCTCCTCCCCTGGGCACTGACCTCAGGGAGTTTGGGTGGGGGGGTGGATTCCACCCAGGAAATGATAGTGGATGGATTTCCAGGACCCCAAGAAACAAGGCTAAGGCCCCTAACGTCTCTGGACTGGACACGCTGCCTCGGCGGCTGACTGGCATGATCTCCTCGTGAGCCAGCCTGGAGCCGCCGTGCCCAGGAAATGTCCCAGCTCTGTGTAACTTGAGTGAGGCACCAGAAGTAGGTTACGTAACATTAGAGGGACTGATTAGGTTCCTTTAAAAACTTATGAAAACAACAACTCCTGCCCCTTTGGCCATTTTAGAAAAAACCGGACAGGAGAAGCAGGTTAAATCCTATTTGAACTGGCTGGCAGGTCACTATCAGCAGTTGCTTATCTAAGAAGCAAGCCCTCAAAAACTGGGTGGAAACCACATTTCCTCAATGACTCTAAGATACAGGAATTTTCCACAAAGGAAGGAAGAGCCAGGAGGATGCAGGGAGAGCAGGGGGCAGGGCAGTCACCGGCACGAAGCCCTGCTTTTCTGCGCAATCGCCCCCGTTCTTGGGTGACTCAGCCCGTTTCTGCCTCCAGAGAACTGACGTCGGCCCCATACCTGGGAGAGAAGCTGGACGGGGAGAAGAGCAGATGAGGGCTGTGAGCCGCCGACACGTTCCGTTTGGACTGGGGAGTCTCGGGGGTGCTGACGCTGCGCTTCTGAGAACCCTGGAAACAGAACAGCCCGTCGAGGGCCAGGCAACATTGGTGAACAAGTGCAAAGCCTCGAGAAGGAAAGAAAGGGAGAGTCCACAGATGAGTGCAGGCTTGGGCTGCATCAGCTCCAGAGGCACACTCGCCATCTCACAGGAGCCTGTCCACAATGAGACCCCCAAGCCCCAACACAAACACACCCACTCCCAATTCCCCTAAAGCTCCAGTCTGATGGCTCGTCGTGGCAAGGAGGCCGTCGAGGGCTATGGGAGGTGGCGGGCTAAGCCGCCATACTATGATAACGTGGGACAGGGACGGAGCGTGAGTCTGATGAATGAAGGCCAGTCTGTTAAACGTGCAGATGTCCTACAGCAGGCTAGCTTCCTGAAAGCCATCTGTATGCCACAGGGGACTGAAATCTGCCACCCTGCAGGAAGTATCCCCACCGATAAAGTCCCCAACCCGGGAAGTCTCAAAAAAGGTCCAAGGCAGGAACATTTCTCCCGTTGACTCTCGGGTGACCAGATGGCCCCCTTCTCCTCCCCACTCTCTGGGCTTTAC